GCATATCTTTCTAATTTGCCAGATTTATCGACCACATGACCTAAATGATCAATGAGAAGGTCACGTGGTCGATAAAACCGGTCCAAAGATAACTTTCTCTGTTTTTTTTTCATATCTTAGAAACCCCAAATATAATACACCATTACAAAAAACACCTTTCTGTTTTTACATTTATATGATCATTCTTTTGTTACTTCAGCTAAAAAGATATTTAAAAAAATCACTAAAATCTTTTTAAAAACTTGAATACTGTTACAAAAGTTACTATAGACCATAGGCGCCGCCAGGATTATGCATCTACTTTTCAGGGGGGTGCATTTCCATCTACTCATGCTATTAACCAATATAAAATTGCACCCCGCTGCCGGTGCCCATGCTATAGACGCTAAATATTATTTGCATGTTACTAATATACCATCATTTTATACACTAATCTAATTCTGTTCACATTCATGCTGCTCAGGTACAGGATCCAGAAAAAGTAAGTATCGTTTCCCTAAAAAATATAGCAGTAGTCTATTTCCATTGCTTGAATATATGTAGGTACATAATTAAATTTGTTAAGAGATATGTTGAGTTAAAAATTTCAAAAAGTCTCTACTTATTATCTCTATATTTTTTGGAACAGACAACATCCTATTGAACTATCTATTTAAAAATCGCCTGCAGACAGAAGCAGACTGATGACAGACTTCCTTTTCTTTTGACAGAAGAGTTTTTGGCATTGACGCAAATGAAAGAAGTCTGTTCTTTTGTTTTAATATGTCTCACTGTCCACTTACCGATACTGGTGTTAAAGGCATATATGACTGCGAAATCAGAAATTGAGGCGGCAATTAAAAAGCTAAAATTCAGAAAAGCAGAAGAAGAAGATGGAATAACAGCTGAAACACTCAAAGAAATGGGAGAAGTGGGGACGGAAGAGATGCTTAGAATTTGCAATGAGATCTGGAATACCTGAAAGTGGCCAAAGTACTGGGGTAAACTCACGTTTATTCCCATATATAAAAAAGGTTCACCGGCAGATTGCAGTAATTATCGTACAGTAGCATTGATATCACACGCGAGCAAAGTACTTCTAACCATCATCAATGAAAGACTAAAATCAATTCTCTTACCACAAATTTCCCAAGAACAATGCGGATTCGTCCCAGTTAGAGGAACAAGAGAACATATTCTTAATATTCGCCAAATTATCAAAAAATCTCGAGATTTTAACAGAAACATATTTATGCTTTGTTGACTATTCCAAGGCCTTCGATACCGTAAAATGGGATAAAATGTGGATATACTTAGAGAAATGGGTACGCCAGAACATCTACTCTATTTATTACAAAAACTATATGTAAATAATACTTTTAATGTAAGGGTTAATAATACAAGACGACGCAATATTGATAGTCCAAGATAAAGATAGTGTGCAAAGACTGGTCCACAGATTAAACATACGAGCACAATAATTTAATATGACAATCTCATCTCAGAAAACTAAAACAAGCAAAGTAGTCAACAAAGAACCAACTAGATGTAAAAGAGAAATTTATGGCATCAGCATTGAACAAGTAATGGAAATAAAATACCTGGGAATTACACTGTCTAGCTATGGAGACCTGGACAAAGAAGTGAGAATACTGAGATGAAGTTAAGAATTTATAAAGCCAGTGTAAGACCAATACTGACATATGCCTCAGAAACAAGACCCGACACAGCCACAACATAAACGGCAGATATGAGAGTACTGAGAAGAATTACAGGAAATACGCTGAGAGATCGATTGAGAAGTGATGACATTAGAAGACAATGTAACGTACAGTGTCTAAATGAATGGAAACAAAATAGAAAAAAAGTCGACCCGTGTCGTCAAAATAGCATCGAGTGATTTGTGACCCTCCAAATAAATATTTGGCAGGACCCTGGTCTTCCGGCCGGTTAAGGCATACGACCGCGACTCCACAGCCCCTACGAGTCCGACACCAAATAAGGCGACACGATGTCCAAACATCGTGCGGCTCCACCTTACCCGTAGTACCTGTGTTGTACGTAGTACTCCACGGGGGCGAAAAGATGACGCAGGCGGAGGAATTCCACCTCGCACGTAGACAGGTTGCCGCCGAGGATCACTCCTCTACCACTCTTAAATCAGCCGGGTAGGTACGTGCCGGGACACCGACACCACTCTCCGTGGTGTAAGGCTGTGAGAGGTATATACAGGCCCAGCTCGTTCAACCTCACTTGGCTCTTGTAGAATGAGAGTAGAGTGGTTCCACGAGATGCTCGTCTCGATACTAGGAGTGTAAACCGGTGACCGAGATGACTAAGCATCCTGAGTGCGTTTCTACAAACCCGACACCTCGAACGACGCGACGGCTCTCCACCGCTCATTACCTTCCCATTAGTCGCCCCTTACGATAGGCAAGGTCTTCTGGCCTCGGCCGTATTCTTATCTCCGCGAGCCGAACGAAGCGTCAAAATTTCATTTAAATTAAAAATGGCTTCTACGGATGTAGATGTCGCGGATGACCGAGAGTTACCTGTAGTTAAAAAGAACCTCGAAAGTAATAGAAATCAATCTATTACCTAACCTAACCTAACTTAACCTAACCTAACTTAAACCTATGACTATATTTAGTAGTATTAAACCCAGTCAATGAGTAGGATACTGGAAATCGGCGCTTGAAGAAAAAAAAATTCTGTAGCGAAAGTGTTCACAGACAATCATCATCACACAGCCAAATTTGTCCACTGTCGAACATAGGCCTCCTCAAGATGTCTCCACTCTTCTCTGTCCTGTGCAGCTGCGATCCAGTTTGTCACTATTCTTTTAATGTCGTCCGTCCATCTGGTAGGTGGTCTTCCACGATTTCGCTTGTCTGCCCTTGGCCGCCATTCTAAAATCTTCTTTGTCCATCTGTTGTCTCTCTGTCTTGCGACGTGTCCTGACCATTTCCACTTCAACTTCGTAATCCGTTTTATGACGTCTTCCACTCCAGTTCTTCGCCGTATCTCATCATTTCGTATTCGGTCTCTCAAAGTTACGCCAAGCATAGATCTTTCCATTTTTCGTTGTGCTACTTGTAACTTTTTTATTGATGCTTTAGTCAATGTCAGTGTTTCAGCTCCATAAGTGAGCACCGGAAGTACGCACTGGTTAAATGCTTTTCTCTTTAGCTTTATTGGGATGTTTTCCTTAAACACGTCTTTTAGCTTGCCATAGGCTGCCCATCCTAAAGCTATTCTTCTAGATAATTCGCATGTTTGGTTGTCTCTACTTATTTGTATTTCGTGGCCCAGATATATGTATTTGTCAACCGTTTCAATATGCCAGTTTTCTAGTTTCAATGGTCCACTAGGTACTAAGTTGGTCATCATTTTAGTTTTCGCAAAGTTTATTTCCAGCCCTACTTTTTGGGAGACTCGTTGTAAATCTTGTAGCATTTCGTTGGCCTCCTTTAGGTCGTCGGTTATTAGAACTATGTCATCTGCAAATCGTAGGTGGTTCAGCCTTTCGCCATCGACACTCAAACCTCTGTTTTCCCATTCTAACATCTGGAATGCATGCTGCATTACGGCATTGAATAGTTTTGGTGACATGTTGTCTCCTTGTCTAACTCCCCTTTTTAGTTTTATTTTTTGAGTAGGGGTGTGGAGGTTTATTGCTGTTGTGGCATTTGCATATATATGTTGAATAATGCTGGTATATCGGTAGTCGATTCTACAATCTCTCAAAGCTCTTAAGATAGCTACCATCTCGATAGTGTCAAAGGCTTTTTTATAGTCAACAAATACTAGAACTAGTGGCCGGTTGTACTCTATAGTTTTTTCAATTAGGGCCTTTAGACAAGTTAGATGGTCATTTGTACCATACCCAGGGCGGAAACCTGCCTGTTCTCTTGGTTGGCATGTTTCTAGTTTGTTCTCAATTCTGGCAGTGATAATTCGAGCAAATAATTTATACAGGTGACTTAGAAGACTGATTGGCCTATAGTTTTCGAGGTCTGTTTGATCTCCTTTCTTATGCATGAGGAGCGTTATAGAATTATTCCATTCAGCTGGTATTGCTTGGTTTTCTAAGCATATATTGAAGAGCTGCTTGATTGTCCTGATGAGAGCAGAGCCTCCGATTTTTAGCGCATCCGCCACTACTCCATCTTCTCCTGGTGCTTTGTTTTTTTTTCATTTTCTTTAGAGCATGGTAAATTTCAGCCGTTGATATGTCGGGAATATCTTCTGAACCTTGATTCATAATTTTTTGTTCTGTATGTTCTGTCGGGTTTAAGTCCAATTTATTTGTGTATAGTGTTTTGTAGAAGTCTTCTACTATCTCTAGCATTTCGTCTCTGTTGGACGTTAGTTTGCCGTCTGATGATTTCTTTTCTGCTGTTCGTCAATTTCCTTCTTAATATCTTCATGCTCTTGTTGTGCTCGATTGTCTGCGAGATTTTCTCATTTTTATATGCCCTTATGTCCTTTCTAATTGCTTTTGAGACCTCTTTGTTGATTTTATTTATGCTTTGTTGTTCTATACTCTTATCTTTTAGCATTTCTCTTCTTTCTTCCATTTTAAGTTTGGTGTTAGCAGTGATTCTCTCCTCTCTCTTGTTACCTGTACAACATTTTCTTTGAGCTTCTGCTATGGTATTAGTAATTACTTTATTTAGCTGATTTATATCATTTGTGGGGGGCCTGTTTTGTGACAGACAATATGGATTCAAAAATCTCTCCGTGTTTGGCTCCAGTTAATCAATTAACCAGGGACAGAAGTTTTAGGTGGAAGTTGAAACAATGTACAAAATCTATCTACAAAATCTATAGTATGCATGATGAATGCTGTTTAATCAGACACATTACTGATGCTATATTAAAGAGCATCTTTATTTTTTATCATTGCAAATATCTTTTTTGTTTTAAGTAGACACTATGAATGAAACATTTGCTATTTATTCTAGAAATATGTATAAAGCATCTTTACGAAATACGAAGTTGTAGACATTGGAATACTAATGTTTGTATTTTTTTTCCAGCAATTTAGAAATAGTCCAGTAACTGCTTCGTCAATTTCTGATCTGGATCATGGTCACGTCAATCCGATTGCCAACGGAGAATTTACCATATTTTCTCCCTTATCCACACACTACAATAACAACGTTTTCCACGCAAACGAGACAAAGGTAATTAATATATTTTTTAATTCAACGAATATAATTTAATATTTACTTTGATATGTAGGTTGTTTCGATACTGCTAATAGAAAAAAGCAAGTTAAAATCTAAAGATTTAAATAAATGTATTCTTCAACTTCTTCAATTGCAAAATGATTCCTTTTACTTATTTATAATTTGGAATGCCGTACTATATTATTCAATTCATATTTTTTTCACTTGTTCTTAGCTTTCCTATTTGCTGTTAATAAATAAAATCTTTTGTGATACATGCTCAAAAGTCAGTACAGGTCAAACAAGTAGGAATTTCAAAAAATGTATACCTAAGCATTCAGCTTTTACGAACACCTACTTCAAAATTTCTGCTGGAAGATATTATACATGCGGCAAGTTACGTGAGCGGTATTGTAAGAAATCAAATAGACTTCCTTGTGATCAACAGGCGATACCGAAGTTCACTTAGATCAACTATAACATACCCAGGGGCTGATGTTGTATCAGGTCTACTTAAAAAAAAAGTAACAGAGAAGATATAAAGGCAGAAGTGTTGGATTCGACAGTTACTTGATGGAAATTCGTTTTATCTATTATAAAACACTAAAAACTTTTGTTGTCAACACTTCCACAAGACTCTGTTTTTCTATTATTGAAAGCACTTTTGTGTTCGGGTAAACGTTTGTTAAAATTTCTACCAGTTTGACCGATGTAAGTTTTTGGTCAGTCGTCACATTTATGTTTGTTTACACCGCTGTATATTTGCTTTTTCATTTGACTCTTATCGTTCTTAATATATTAGCCCAAGTTGTTGTTTGTTCTAAAAGCTGGTGTTATTTCTTTCTTTTAATAGGGCTACAGAAGGAAATAATGAAGAGCTGAACGGTATAAAAATTAACACCATTACTAGAAATAAGAAAAGAATAGCAGCTGTATATATCAGAGTTGTTTGAAGATGACAGGAATAATATTGCCGAATTTTACCAAAACTGTACTGACGGCCCAGAAATTATGAAATGCGAGGTAGATCACGCTATAAATAATGCAAAAATTAGAAAAGCTTATGATCCAGATGATACACCAACTGAGTTGCTGAAACTAATAAAGAATGATAACATAAAAGTAGTAGTAAGACTTTTTAATTCAATATAACACCGGAGTGATTACCACAGATTGGCTCAAATCCATCTTTGTCGCAATACCTAAAAAACACAATGTGAGAAAATGCTCAGAAATATCGATTAATTAGCCTAATGAGCCATACTCTTAAAATTTTCATAAGAATAATTCATAACAGAATTAGACGCAAATGCGAAGAAGATCTTGAAGATACCCAATTTGGTTTTAGAAATGCTATGGGAACCAGGGAGGCACTTTTTGCGGTTAACATCCTATTACAAAAATGCCGTGACCAAAGAAAAGATGTATTTGCATGTTTCGTGGACTTCGAAAAGGCATTCGATAAAGTACAGCATGTAAAATTAATGCAAATACTGAAAAATATCGGAATAGATGACAAGGATATTCGTGTCATTAAAAATTTGTACTGGAATCAAACTGCTATCGTAAAAATTGGAGATAACTACACCGATGAAATCTCTATACAACGAGGAGTCAGACAATTGTTCAATGTCTACTCGGACCAGTTATTTAAAAAGGCACTTGAGAGATAACCATATGGAATAAAAATCAACGGGGAACTACTTAATGTGATTAGATATGCAGACGATACAGTAATTCTATCAGATAATATTGAATGTCTTCAAATTCTGCTTGATCGTATTCACGAGGTAGGAGAGGAAATGGACATTAAAATAAACTCAAACAAAACCAAATTTTTAGTGTTTAGTCGTGACCCACATTCCGATGCAAAGCTTCAATTAAACGGAGTCCAAGTTGAGAAAGTTCACAAAATGACATATTTGGGAACTGTGATAACGGACCAACTAGATCCAGACATAGAAATAAAACGTAGAATAGCAATGACTAAAACTACTTTTATGAAAATGAAGTCATTTCTTTGCAATAACCATCTCAGTTTAGAACTAAGACAAAGAATGGTTAAGTGCTATGTTTGGTCCGTACTTTTGTATAGTGCAGAAGTGTGGACGCTAAAAGTATCGATCATGAACAAAATTGAAGCATTGGAAATGTGGGTTCATAGACGAATGCTGAAGATACCTTGGACAGCAAGGAAAACTAATGAAGAAGTACTAAGGAGCGTCAACAAAGATAGAGAACTGCTAAAGACTGTTAAACATCGAAAAATGTCTTATCTGGGACATATAGTAAGGGGAAGTCGATATAAAATATTACAACTGATCCTTAAAGGCAAAATAGAGGGCCGTAGAGGTGTAGGAAGAAAACAAGTTTCTTGGTTAAAAAACATTCGTGAATGGACTCAGATATCAAATGCAGGACAATTATTCCATATTGCAGAAGTTCGAGAAGCCTTCGCAATGGTGATCGCCAACGTCAGATAATTCTGATATGGCACCTGAAGACGAAGAAGAAGAAACAATCGAACTGAAAAGAATAGAAAATAAAAAATGGATAACCAAAGATACTCTACAGCTGATAGGAGAAAGGAGGAAAATCAAGAGAACTCTTACAAAAGGGAGGATGGCAAGAGGGCACTTGAAAGGAAATACAAGTCAAAAAACACATAAGTCAAAAAACAAGCGGTAAAAAATCCGAATTCAAAGAATTTACAACACACCCACAAATAAACAGAAGATAAAAAACACGACAACGCATCATGCTTTTTTAGAAACAATGACCTACGTGAATGTGATTCATTTATATTTGTCGTAACGTTAACAACTTGATATTTATTGACCTAATTAGAAAGTTTCATAGGTATTGGTTGATGAACTCAACAATTGATAGTACTTTATTAATGAAATTTGCTTGCACCTCAGTTTACGTAAGTTCGTAAATAGTTTTTCCTATTTGAAATTAATGTTTTTGCAGTTTTGTTAGATTTATAAACAAAGCAGAAAATTTAAAAAACAGATTATCTATTTTGCTATTATTGCAAATATTTTGCGTTTTTACCAGATTTATGACTAACATAAGCAAATATTATATAGGATCTTTATAGTCCAGGCTGTGAGGCCGCTCCCGTTGGGAAAATGTTTCTGATTCGGTTTCTTCGCGGATTCCGGTTCAAAAATGTCCCCTTTAAACAAATCTGAAGGGTGCCGGGCGAAATTTTTGGGCAGAAATTGTTTAAACAATTTTTTTAAACAAAGTCCAAAAATAATTTTTTTTTAATCTGGAAAACGTTTTTTTAGGTTTTTTGGGCCATTTTAAACAAAAAAAGTCTCTTGTCATTTTTCTCTAAAGTTGATAGTTTTCGAGTTATAAGCGATTTAAAGTCTGAAAAACGCGAAAATACGCATTTTTGAGGCTTGAAAACACATATGTAAATTATTATTTTTGAGGTTACCAAGTGTCTAAATCAAAGTTTAAACATTCAACTTCAAGATTGTGAAGAGTAATCGGGGCTTATTTTAATTTAGACCGTTGTTTTTTAATTGTTAAGTATGCGCGTACACTCGATTTTTCAGCACGCTCGACGAGCGCAGAGACCTTTTTGTTTAAATGACCCAAAAACTAAAAACGTTTTCCAGATTAAAAAAAATATTTTTGGAATTTGTTTAAAAAAATTGTTTAAACAATTTCTGCCCAAAAATTTCGCCCGGCACCCTTCAGATTTGTTTAAAGGGGACATTTTTGAACCGGAATCCGCGAAGAAACCGAATCAGAAACATTTTCCCAACGGGAGCGGCCTCACAGCCTGGACTATTAATTACTCGCGTCCTATCTTTTAAATTAAACAGTATGTGAGAGATCATCGCAAGTTATTTGTTTGAAAGGATTCTCGATGCCATTATGTATGGAATATAACTTTCTTCAAACGTCCGCATCGGCGCATAAATCAGTTTGAACTTGTTTAATGGCATGGATTATCTTCGTTTTGAGAACTGCTGTAGTTTGTGGCTTATTTCCATAGACCTGCGGCTTAAGAAAACCCCACAATAAAAAGTCGAACGAGGTCAAATCGCACGATGTCGGTGGCCAGTTCACATAACCTCCACGTGATGAACGTGTCCTAAATCACTCTTACAGAATTCAGACCAAAGAAATTGGTAATCATCGTCCTGTATCTCTCTCATTGATGTGGTGGTGGCCTGGCCAATACTATGACGCCGCTAGCTAAAAATCCTCACCTAACAACGATTTTTCGGAATACCTTGGTCGATCTTGGACCTCATTTGAACAATAGATAATTGTGTTTGTTGGCCGTTGTTTGTTGGACGGATATTCCTCCAAACATTGGCCTAAGCGCTGAAGATGATTTTTATATATTTTCTTCTTCTTTTTTATAAGCAATTCTGCTTGTTCATTAGCGGATTAATACCTCTATGGAAGGTTGTCACTCCATCTTTTGCCGATTAGTGACTTATCTTTGCTATTTGACGACACGGTCTCCTCCATTCTGCTTATGTGGTTATTCCATTCTTTTTCATTTTGTGTCCATTCATTTATACACTGTACGTTACATTTTCTTCTAATGTTTTCACTTCACTTTCGATCTCTCAGCGTATTTCCTGTAATTATTCTCAGTTCTCTTATCTCTGCCTTTTCCAGTAGCTTTGCATTGTGGCTGTGCCAGGTCTTGTTTCTGAGGCGTATGTCATTATTGGTCTTACACTGGCTTTATAAATTCTTGTCTTCATCTCAGTGTTAATGCTTTTTGCTTTTTGTACTTGATCTCTCACTTCTTTGTCCAGGTCTCCATAGCTAGACAGTGTAATTTCCAGGTATTTTATTTACATTACTTGTTCAATACTGATGCCATCAATTTCTATTTTACATCTGGTTGGTTCTTTGCTGACTACTATTGTTTTAGTTTTCTGAGATGAGATTGTCATATTAAATTCTTTTGCTCTTATGTTAAATCTGTGGACCAGTCTTTGCAGACTATCTTCATCTTGGGCTATCAATATTGCGTCGTCTGCATAAGAGTATTTTTATTTCTTTGTTTCCATTCTGTATCTCTTCATTTGTTATGTTTCATATTTCAAATTGAAGAGCATGGGCTCAATGATCCCTTGTCTTTCCGCTGCCTATTTCTATAGGTTCTGTAAGTTGTCCATCTATTCTGACTTCCATTTTGTTGTTTTGGTAGATGTTTTCGATAGTTTTTATAATATTTAGGGAAACTTCTCTATTATACAGAAGATGAATTACATATTTGAGTCTTATTCTGTCTATCTGTATACGATCTTCCATTTGTTAAGCTTATACTCTGATTTATTAGTACTTGTAAAATTTTAGTTCTTAGTTTTAGGGTAGTATTTAACAATTTTATACCTCTGCAATTTTCTGGCTGTTTTTATCTCTAATCCATTCGATTCATTCTAATCTGGGTCTTCCTCTTTTCCATCGACCTATCGGTTGCCATTCTACTACTTTTTTGGGGAGTCTTGTTGCTGGCATCCGTTGAACATGCCCATACCACCTTAATTGTTTCTTCTCTATATCTTGAGTTATATTTCCTTCTATTCCCATACGTTGTTTTATTACATCATTTCTGATTCGGTCTCGTCTGGAAATACCTAAAGATCTTCTCATTGCATCCATCTCTACTGCTTCTATTCGCTTTTTGTTCTTTTCACTAATTCTCCATGTTTCAGCGCCATAAAGAAGAGTAGTTTTAATCATGGTCTCATATATATTAAATTTTCTTCCTTTCGTTATCTCTTTACTCCACAGTATACCATTGAGACATCCTAAGACTTTCTTTGCTTGTGTGATTCGTTTTTCTATTTCCCGTGTATCAGTTCCTGTATTGTCAAAGGCAACACCCAAGTAGTCATAGCTCTGACAGCAGGAAATATGTTGTCCGTTTTCGAGGTCTATGTTATCTGACTCGTTTCCAATACAAAGATATTTGGTTTTTGTTGTATTGACATTCATTCCCCAGTCGTTATATTCTTCTATCAGTTTTCTAAGCATGTACTGCATGTCTTCCCTGTCGGTCGCTAGTACTACCTGGTCATCAGCAAACTGGAGTGTATATATACATTCATTGCTAAGCTCTATACCCATCCTATGCACCTTTCTTTTCCATCTTTCCAATGCTGCTGCAACATATATCTTGAATAAGGTTGGTGAGATACAGCATCCCTGTCGCAAGCCTTTTGTAACCAGGAATTCTTCCGTTAGATATTTTCCTGTTTTTATCTGTGCCTTTGAGTCTCTATATAGTTCTTGTACAGCATTTATCAATGTGTGGTTGATGTTAGATCTTTTCAACGTTGTCCACAATTTTGTTAAGGGGATGTTGTCATATGCTTTTTGCAGGTCTACAAAAGTAATATGAGTTTCTAGATTCTTAGCCGATCTTTTTTCTATTATTTGTTTAAGACAAAATACGTTATCGGTGCACGATCTTCCTGCACGGAACCCGCTTTGTTCTTCCTCTTCATTGTGCTTATATTCTTCCTCGATCATATTTCTCAAAATTCGTCCATACAGTCTGCTCAGGGTGCTGGTTACCGATATGCCTCTATAATTATTACAATTCCTTTTGTCCCCCTTTTTGTGTATTGAGGACATGTATGCCGTTCTCCATTGTTCTGGTACTGGGTGTCCATTTAGACACTGATTGATCACATAAGTTAAGTTTTCAAATAGTTTATGAGTTCCATTCTTAAGCATTTCAGCATAGATTCCCTCAGGTCCAGCGGATTTACCATTCTTTAGGGTCATTACAGCCTTCCTTACTGTTTCGATGTCTACCCTCGCTTCCTCTCCTTGTATATGTACTGACTGTGTTGGGGAGTTCGCTAGGTATTCTTGTCTTGTCTCTGTCAGCAAGCTTTCATAGTGATCTTTCCATTGTCTTGGTTTTATGGTGTGTATGTGTGCTTTGTCTTTTCCTGTATTTTTTACTGATTGTATAAAATTCCATACCTCTGTACATTGCTTCCCTCCGATGTATGTATTGATTTCTTGACATTTCTGATCCCATGTTTTATTCTTTTCTTGTTTTATCATTTTTCGTAGTTGTCTATCGGTTTCTTTGTAAGCTTGATGGTCTTCAGTATTTTTTGTATTTAGCCATTTTAGATGCTGTTCTTTTTTCTGTTTTACCATATATTCGATTTCTTCGTTCCACCATATTTTGTTACTAATTTTGTTTTGCTGTGTCCCGAGTGTCTCCTTAGAGGCCTGGTGTAAACTAGCAATAATATTCTCGTAAATATCTGAAAATGTTTGTCTCTCTATTTCTCGTAGTTTTTCATCCAGTCGTCGTTGGTATAGCTGTTTAGTACTATCATTTATAAAACTATTGAAGTTGGCGGAGCATGCGGAACTTTGTCCTAACAGAAAACCCATTTTGATAAAACAATTTTATCATTCACACGTGTTGTTTCAACAATATTGCCACTATCAACTGTCTAGTTCGGAAGACCCTATGGGAAGATCGTTTACTTACGTTGGTTTTAGCCATTTGGCCCTACAGTAGTGTAATAATCTTCTACGTTGCTCTATCCATTGCTTATGTTTTGGACTTTTTATTTTCATTCTCTTTTTCTTCTAAAATCGATTTTTGTATGTCACATCAAAATTCGTTGATTGTTTTGTTTTCGTTTAATATTTTCGTTATTTTGCGTCTTTCTTTGGATCAATACTTAAAGGCATGTATTTTATATCGTTCGCGATATTCTATCTCCAGCGCACATACAGAGTAATGGCAGCTTGTCGGTGGGAGTGAAGACAAGCAGGCGATGAACGTTGGCGGTAGCATCGTTATAATATTCAATAGTTAACCATCTACAGAGATTGAACGGGTTGAACCTTGTACATATCTTGACATTTCTCCTATTCTTTTTTTATTCTATCATAAAATCAAAAGCTTTTTAACCACATCTATCTTATTTTGGTCGTTTTTGTTTATGACCCATATTTGTACATATTTAATAACTAATATAGGGACAGATAAAATGAGCTAATAAATTTTCTATTTTAGACAAAAGCTGTTGAAGATTCTTTAGCAAATAGTTATGACATCAGCAGTTGGTTTGGTAAGTATTCTAAAAGGCCTTGCTAATTATTGTAGTATTTTCTGAGAGTATGTAGAGATTACGAACTGTTTAATGACCAATGAATTATTTTATATAGGGCAAAAGTTAACTCTATTTTTACAACAATGCTAATCTTACCTGCTGATATGTAAACATTTCTGCATTCAACACCAAGTTTTCATGGCTATCAAAAATTTGATGTGGTTAGAGAAGCTGTCTGTTATAATTTGACATTCATATGCTTTCAATTGGGGTTAAGTCAGGAGAAACTGCTGACTACTTAAAGATTGCTATCCTGCTATCTTTCAATTAACTCCTTACATAATTTCAAAGGCTTTTTGGCCTTGTAAGTTATGTAAGTACTTAAGTTAATAGTATAATGTGGTCTTAATCTTCTTGAGTAAATATTTACTGGGATAACACACTTATTTTTTATACAGTCACACAGTGTGCCTAAGAACCACCTGTTTTTTATCCTGCCTCCAGTATATTATGTTTGCAGCGATTTCGTGGTCATCCCTCTGTTCACTCTTCCACTGGTAATGACTATTTAGCTATTTGAAGCAATGTGCATTCCTACTGCCTACTGTTCTTTCTATTTTTCATATGCATCCTATAGCTACGCTTCTGGCTATTTTTTTATCAGTTCTTGATATTATTTTCATTTCGAATATCTCCAGAATCCTTTCTGATCTTCCGTCACACTGGCCTAAGTCATTATTGGCCTAACAACTCTCTTGTGAATTCTGCTTTGAACTTATTTCCTTATTTTTTGTTCCACAATATTTTGTCATTCAGACCTTCCACGGCTCTTATCTATTCACTTGTTTCTCTACTTTTGTCTCAAGATTTCCGTGGCTTAATAGATTGACGATCAGATATTTGAACTCAATCACCTATTATCATTTTTACCCGTTCTTTCAGTTTGCGCGTCATTGGTTTGGCACAATCGTGAAAAATTATGTATTATTTAGTAAATGTTAAATTTGTATTATAACACCTAAATAACTGACATATTAAACGTAAGATCACACATATGATTTATATTATTAATATAATATATATATATATATATATATATATATATATATATATATATATATATATATATATTATTATATTATATATTATTATTAATAGATATATTATTAAATCAGAAATGTTTTGCATAGATTGAAAAATTCACACTGCACGGATTTTTATTTCTTAAACAAAAAAATAATTGTGGAAACAATCGATATTATTATTGACAAATTAATTATACTTTATAATAATTGTCTTACTGAGGGGATTTACCCAGATGTTTTAAAAGTAACAAAAGTGCTACCAGTGTTCAAAAAGGGAGCTTTAGATGAAATTGGAAATTACCGTCCCATCTCAATCATTCCCATTTTCGGCAAAATTTTTGAGAGTATTCTAAATGTTCGTTTGGTAGAATATCTAGAAAAACACAAAATACTTCACTGTAACCAATATGGCTTTAGAAAAAAGTGTAGCACTACACTAGCTATACAGAAAATTGTGAGAGATATAGTTGATGGCTTGGAGGAAGGTCATTTTGTGTCTTTGACATTGTGTGACTTATCCAAAGCTTTTGACTGTGTTTCGCATGAATTACTGTTGGAAAAAATGCATAAGTACGGTATTAGGGGAAACACTCTTAATCTATTTAGATCATACCTAACAAATAGAAAACAGGCAGTTTTTCTTAATAACAGCTATTCTGAGTTTAACACTGTCGAATATGGTGTACCTCAAGGTTCGATATTAGGACCCACTTTGTTTCTTATTTATCTGAACGATTTATTTCACTACACTTTTCCTATAAAATGTGTTTGCTTCGCAGATGATACAACTCTCATAAATACTGATATTAATCAGAATAATTTAAAAATTAAAATAGATAGTGATACCAAGAAAGCAAAAAACTGGTTCTCACATAATGGGCTAATGCTAAATGAAGAGAAAAATCAGAATTTGATTTTTAGTTCTGATTGGAAGTATATCTTAAGAAATAGTGTTAAACTATTAGGAATCTTTATAGACGATAATTTGGATTGGAGTGCTCATATAGATTACTTAAGTTCTAGACTTGCTACAAGTATATTTTTAATACGCAACTTAGTTTATATGATTCCTAAAAATACCCTTAGAATGTGCTACTTTGCACTATTTCATAGCCATTTACAGTACGGAATAACTGTTTGGGGTAATTCTTCTTACGCAGATCGAATTTTTAAATTACAAAAAAGAGTAGTGAGGATACTTGCAAGAGCAGAGTATAGGGAACACTGTAAACCTTTATTTCTGGATTTAGGTATTATGCCACTACCTTCACTCTATATATATGAGACGCTGATTGAAATTCATGCCAACAAAGGTAAGTTTAACGTAAACTCCAACGTCCATGATTACGATACAAGATCTAGAGATGCTATTAGAGCACAACGTTTTAGGTTGACAAAGAGCGTAAAAAATTCGACTGACGTTAGTTTGTATAACTTTTTGCCAGATGAAGTAAAAAGTCTTCACTTGTTATCATTTAAGCATAAAATCAAATCACACTTTTTGAAACATTGTTTCTATTCAAAAACGGAGTACTTAAGTACAGCTTTTACACAATAGTACTAGTTTGGTCAGGGCAGTTGCCTATTATAATTATATTTCATGTTTTTTTATAATTCCACAAAGTGTGTTTGTCGTTTTTTTTTAACTGTTAATATTAAATACATACATGTTTGTAATGTTTAAATTATCCAAAAAAAAAATTTTATATGTTTTATAAGTATTGTCACTATTCCTTTGACTTGTCAAAAACAAAACTATTTTTGTATATTGATTAAATAAATTCTATTCTATTCTATTCTATTATATGCCCATATTAACACCTACTCTCAGGGCTTACTATATATAATCTAGCTTATAATTCTATACAGTTGGTACAGTATAAAAACCGATGCACGTCATTGTCTTCGTCAGAGCTCTAAGTTGGTATTGTTGCCAAATTACAAAAAAATCCTGAATTCATTTTAAATCAAATATATTACATAATTTTTGCAGAAGTTGATTCTGCTCTCTTCACAGCAATATGAGACTGCTTTATCAGTCCTCGCTTTGGTTCATCTTTTAACTATTTAAAACCAATGTCTTTCAGTACAATACTGAGTGACATACGACAACCACTAAACGGTTATTTTTCCTTCAATTGAATCTATAAGAAGGTAAAGTCACATGCTCTTCTGAAAAGAATTAAATTTGATTTCATTTTAAGCAAATCTATTTAACTTACTACACTTTATGATATCTAACGAAAAGTATACTTACTTCGTTCATACATACTGTAAATTGTATTACGAGTTTCGCTTGTATTTATTATTTCAGTGTTGGTATACAACAGATTTGACCAAATTGTATACGCAGATGCTTCTAAGAGCCCTATAGCTGGTGGATGTGATGTTACTTCCAACACAGATTTAATCATATCTGCCGCTCTTCTGTTGCACACATACTGCTGAATTATTCTCTATTCTCCAAACTATCACCACAATATAAAAACGTAGCAATATGTACAAACTCTTTAGCGTCTATCTACTCTTCAAAGGTATGTACACGGTACATCATTTGGTTCAAGAACCCTTTCGATAGTTGGGAATATGCATAAGCATGATCTGGTTTCCGTCTCATTGATTAGTAGTAAATAATAACAACGAATCTAAAGTATCAACACCGCAACTATCAAATAAGTGTTACCAATTTATGCTTCTCTCACAGTCAAAGTGTGATCCAGACAAGTGTGCTTCATAAAAACGCTTTATAATCCACTTATACAAATTAAATGGAACAAGTTATGGTGTACTTTTTTAAGTTTACATTAATAGAAATCTACAAATATTATTTTTACGCGTATATAATAAAATATGTGTAGTTACTGTAATTCCAGTGTACTTGGCGAAAATATTATAAGAAATAACATACTTACGACTTAAATATTTTGTGTTGGCATCATGTGACGTCACTTACTATGTCGCGGATGACGTGCATCGTTATGTTGTACCATTTGTGTAAAATATCTTCGTCTATTACATGTTCTCCTTATTATACATATATTTCTTTTTCTAGGTCCAGGCGAAAAAGATTTTCCTAGAACCAGGTTGAAATATATTAAAGAATTGGGATCAGGATGGTTTGGAAAGGTAATTTTTATTCTATTCTATAAATATACTAGTAGATTAAAATGGTAAAATAAAGATCGCTAACAGTTGGCATAATACAGACATAGTTGTAGAACATTGAAGGCCAGATTTTGACTACCATTGAAGATAAATTACGAAGATGGAAAGAACATATGCAAGAATTATTCGAAGATGCAGCACGAAGTCCGACTGAAATAAACAGTCCCTACGGCCAAAAGATAATAAGCGAAGAACTATGGCCATTAAGCGGATTAAAGATGGAAACTCACCAGGACCTGATGAGATGCATGGTGAAATTTTATAGCTATTAGAGGCACACCAACTCACAGCTCTTACGAAGCTATTCAACAGCATCTACGATACTGGTTACTTACCAAAAGACTGGCTACTATCAATATTCATTCCACTTCCTAAAAAAGCCAATGCAAGAAAATGTGAAGAACGTAGATTAATTAGTTTGATAAGCCAAGTACTCCTTCAGTAGTAGAGTGAAGTTCAATTTGGATTCAGAGCAGGACTCGGAATGAGGGAAGCAGTTTTTAGTTTGTAAGTTCTAATACAGAGAGCCAGGAATGCCAACTGCGATGTGTATGCATGTTTCATTGATTTCGAGCAGGCATTTGGTAAAGTCCCATATGGGAAACTAATCGATATCCTAAAAACATCAGGACTCGATGGTAAGGATATAAGACTGATCTCAAACTTGATATCCTCAAAATCTTTCTAAAAACGAAGAATAGTCGGTATTTCACAGAACCTTTTTTATAGAAAGATTAGTGCCATCAAACAAAAAGATGAAGAGACAAGCTTGTTTCTATTAATTTGTTACACTTATAGTACCAATGAAACTAGCGAGTTGAGTTATACAATGACTGAAATTTATACAGAAGTTTCATATGAATGAAATGAATATACTGTAAAACTGATGAGTTAATATTTTATTACATGGGTGTAACAAGACAACATTTACAGTTGATTCAGGAGTGTAGACTATTAAAACTTCGTTTCGTGAAAATGTGTTATGACGTTTGTGGTTACTGTGGTGTATTACCAGCCGTATCCAATGGTACCAAAAGATTAAAATACGAATAATACGGTGTCAATTTAGTGCTCTTCAAAAAAAAGGACAAAGAATGAAAGACAAATTAGATTTGATTCAGTTATTACTTAGTCGTAGGGATATTGTAATGCTGGTGTTGGTAATTCCATATACTTGTGATCACTGATGAGGTTAGAGAGCGTTTAGCGAGATGCTGATTAAATTTGTAGATATTTTCTCCCCCTATTATGTGTCTGTTTTACTTCTAGCGTAGTTATATGTATGTTGAGTATTTAAGATTAATGTTATTGTGTCATTAACGAAATACCTTTACGTTTCAGGTGGTTGAGGGGGCCGTACAAGATGTAGACAATAAAGGACAATCGTGGTCGCCAGTAGTTGTTAGAATCTTAGACACGACCTCTAGTCAAAAAGAGAAAATATTATTTTTACAAAATGCTGCCATCTACAGAACGGCGCTCATGCTAATATTTTGTCTCTAGTTGGAAGGTCTTTAGAAACAGTACCCTATCTGTTACTACAAGAATATTGTCCTCAGGTAAGATGTTTTTTATTATATAGAGCTATCGGGATAAATCTCAATTAGAGCAGGTTGTAAATTTTACATTTAAACGATGCTGGTAGTCAGTTTAGCCGTTTCTTAAATCATATTTTATTTATCGTTTGGCACACAACAAGCATAATTAAAAATCAATTTAAACCGTTTCATGGAGTATTACAAACGAACATCTAATGCATTATTAATATAATGTAAAACATTTTCGGTCGCATTTAGGAACTCATCGAAAACTCCAGTGAATCGCCTTTGGGGGCATTCTTCAATAATGTGACGGACGGTCTGTCGTTGCCCACTACAATCACACTCATGAGTGAAGTCTTTTCCTCATCTATATAAGCTGTCAGCACATCTACCACTGCTTGTTCTTATTCTGTTTAGCGTTGTCTATGTATTGTAGGTCAGTTCAAAGCCTGTCGCTTTCTGATCCATACAGGCCATTTGGTGTGCTTCCTGTGGTGAGTCGCTCTTCCACTGTCTTCTCCAAGCCTTGGTGAGGCTGAATTGTTCCTGATGTAAGGAGTTGACTCTTAGCAATGGAGGATATCTGGAGCGCAGTTTTTAAGAGAATGACTTCTTCGCAGTTTCGGCGATGGAATGTGACTCTGAATCGGAAGCCAATAGTTCGGTGTGGGTCTAATTGTACATGAGATCATTCGCATTGTCTGGTTTAATTGGGTGTCAATAATCTTAGTGTGTTTGCTATTGAGCCATACCGGGGAAGCATATTCAGCCACCGAGTATACAAGTCCGAGAGCGGTTGATCTGAGTACGGAGGCTGAGGACCCCCATGTGGTGCCACATAGCCTTTGGACTATATTATTTCGCGTTTTCAGTTTTGCTGCCATTCTTTGTAGGTGTTCTTTAAAACCCAATGTTCTGTCCAGAGTCACTCCAAGATATTTTGGTATTTAGTTATGAGCGAGCAGACTGTTTTCAAAGTGAACGGAGAGTTTTTTGTTGGCCTGGCTAATATTCAGATGGAAACAGCACACTTCGGTTTTCATTGCATTGGGCCGTAGCCTCCCTTTCCGAAAGTATTCTCCCATAACGCCAAGATCATCCGTTAGTATTGTTTCTGTAATATCAATGTTATTGTCTTGCTGCAATGGTCCAGTCGTCAACGTAGCCAAATTTCTGCGAAGTTATCCCAAGTAGATCCGCGATGTATAAATTAAACAGTAAGGATGCCAAAACAGATCCCTGTGGCACCCCATTGCTGCGCTTCATTTGAACACTTTTAAAGTTGCCCATTGTGACTTGAAAAGGTCTGTCGGTGAGCATGCTATCAATGAGTTTAGTTACCTTTTGACACAGGATGGCACGGATTAGTTTGCAGATTAGTCCTTGTCTCCAGACAGTATCGTATACAGCTGATAGGTCGATGAAAGCAACGGATGTTTTTTGCTTTCTTTGAAAACCTGCTTCAATATGTGTTAATAGGGATAGGATCTGATCTGTGCAGCTGCGGTTAGGTCTGAACCCTGCTTGCTCAATAGGTATCAATTCAAATATGTTTCTACTAATTCTCTTGTAGATTAAGCGTTCCAACAGTTTATAGACACTGCAATCGGTAGGTAGTTTTGATATTATTGGTATTTTGATATTAACTTCTATTACAACTAGTCTATGTTGGCTATGTGGAAAATCTGGGAGTACTATACGTGAAGCTGCCAGTGGTCGATTGTTTTCATTTGTGGAAACAAAACATAGGTCTGGGTTGTATTCTCGCCTCCAGGCTGCAGATCGAAAAGTTCCCGCGATCTTTAGCGTCAAAGACTAAGTAAGTGTCAGCTTCTTCGCTCCAGTTTAGCAGAGCCTCGCCGTTTTCATCACTGTGCCTATACTTCCAGAGTTCTTGATGACTGTTGAAGTCTCCAACATAAACTGAGGGGTGTGGGTGGCGTGAATGGCATGCTGAGGCCACAGGACTGCCGGGGTTTATAAATATTGCTGACAGTAATTTCGCCAATTTGTATAGTAACCGTATGAATGTTATTTATGTCTGATGTAGAACATATGTGTGCATTTTCAATTTTTTTTTTCGAACATAGGTTGCCACTACATTAGCTGGATGGTACATTTCACCCAATAAATCATAGCCATGAATTCTTCCTCTAGCGAGAATTTGTTCTTCGTTTTATACATGGGTTTCCTGAATTGCTACCACGTCGATATTATTTTCAATGAGTTTTGATTGTTGGTTTAACCGCTTGGTCCGAGTCCTTTTGTCGCTTAGTCCTGAGAAGTTCCATTTAAATTGTTGGTTTGAGGCATATTTTATATTCGTGATGTGTTCTTGCCAGGAGATCTAGTGATTCTAGATTGTCGTGCTGCCTATTGTGCTAGTTCATTTAGCATTACCCAGAGTGCACGTGTAGTATTCTACTACGGACGCGAACGTAGTACACCCCTTTTAAATAATAAATGTCAGTGCATGGCAATTCTGTCATTGTTATTGGTATTTATGTAGACAATATAAAATTAGCTGGCTAATTATTAATTAATTAAAGCAGTAAAATACGGTTGTAAATATAAGAATAATGAATTGGCACAAATCAGCACAAAGAACTAATTTAAATAACCAGTCACCGTTTGTTGTAAAAAAAATTACTGGCTTCGTAGCAGGAACTGAAGAAATGCTTTTCTTTTACGAAATTTAAACTAAAAAATTGGTGTCTTGAATTCCTTCCGCAAAGACTTATTGAGGGGCTAATACAGTATTTAAACGGAATCCGTGGGTATAGCCAAAAAACTTTGCGTGCTCTTATAAAGTATGTATGGAGTACCAATTTTGACGTGAGAAATTAGATATATTAACAAACAATTAAATAAGTGTGAAAAATAACACAATGTGTGTAAAATGAAATAATAATAAAAATAACATATTTACATAAGCACAAAATACCCTTCCAAACACTATATAACGGCAATAATTACCGATCGAGTACACTATCGAGTAAAGTTATAACTATATGTCATATATATGGTATAATATAACATTATAACATTATATAAAGGTATAACTATGTAACATTATATAAAGGTATAACTATGTAACGTTAATTTTTTTTTATTTTTAGGGTGATTTAAAGGTTTACTTGAAATCGCAAAAGGCCAATGCCGAGCAATTTCTTTCGACGGATTATCCATTGTTGTGGTGTCATCAATTAGCATCGGCTTTGAAACACCTTCACGAACATGACATCGTGCATCCGTAAGTATAAATTGCTGAACTATTTACTCAACATTCGGTATAAGCCTCTTCTAGTTCTTTCAATGTTGTTGTTTTGACAGTTTTTGAATACCCCGCACCGAGATTGCTTTTAGGCTGAAATACGAATAAGCGTATACACAGATTCAGTGCATTCAGTGCACTGAATATAATAAACCACTAGCTTTAATATTTGTCGACTATGAAAAGGCATTCGACACCGTAAATCAACAAAAAATGTTGGAAGCCTTGACAGAATGCCGAATTGACTATCGGTATATAAATATAATTAAACACATATACCAAAACGCAACAGCCAGTGTTAGAGTGGGTGATCGTCAAACCCAGAAATTCCCGATACAACGTGGAGTACGCCAGGGGGACACCATATCGCCGAAACTGTTCACTACGCTTTTGGAATATATATATATATATATATATATATATATATAAATATATATATATATATATATATATATATATATATATATATATATATATATGTGTAAAATGGCAAAACTGACCGACAAGGGCATAAACATAAACGGAGAAAAGCTTAGCCATCTAAGGTTTGCAGATGGTATTGTACTAATAGCTGATAGGATAGATGAGGCCAAAGAACTTTTAAATCAGCTCTACCTTTCCTCGCTAGAAGGGGGATTGAAAATAAATATATCTAAAACCCAGATGATGACAAATCTTGTAGTTAGCGAAGATATATGCGTAGGGACAAGATCCATGGACCAGGTAATGGCCTATAAATACCTAGGTCATGAGATCCGCATAGGAAAAGATAACCAAACCGTCCTTCTCCGTTGTCCTAACTTTCATCCTCTTCTATCGTGGCAATCTTCTGTTGATAGATTCCGTTCGCTCATTGACTTTTTTATGTTTTGCTGCCACTCTAGTTTGGGTCTTTCTCGCTTTCTATTCCCTATTGGGGTCCAGTTCAGTATTTTTTTTGGCCATCTATTATTTTGCATTCGCTCTACGTGTCCGTACCAGGTAAGTTGTTTCTTTTCGATATATTATCTTACCTTCTATTCCCATTCGTTGTTTTATATGGTCATTCCTCATTCTTTCTCTTACAATTATTTTAACATTGTTAAATATAATAACACAAATATAAATATAATATAATTATACATAAATATAAACAATTACATAACCTCACAAATCATATATCGATAAAGACCCATTACGGCAAATGTGATTCTCAATCCGAGTCTGTGTTCTGTGTTTCCTTCTAAAACATGGCGCGCGTGCTGAAAAACTTTGGCGGCATCTGTAAGTGGGCATTCTGATTGTTTATTATTCTGTGTCTTAACTGTCTTTCCTTTTATTTCGATATACTCTTTATGAGTACGAGAAACCAATTCGCTAAGGATTTTTGCTTAGTTGAGGAGATATGTTGTGGAACGCAATTTTAGATTCCCCATGTCTCTAATTACATCTTTATCAACGTCTGTTTTGCCTTGCAATTCTTAGAAGGCACAGATTAAAGCAGAAATCTGAATTTGGTTTCGAAAATTAGTTTACGGATTTATTTATCAGATGTCGCTATTGCGTCCAGATTGAAGCCATTTTAGTGTTGCTTCTATTATGACAGGAAATATTATTTTCACGTTCAGAGCGTTTTATGGAGAGCTTATGATATGACATAAGATATAAAGCAGAACTTGCTTTGCCAATGATTTTAGCTGTTTGGGACCAGCGTTATATTCTGTTAACAAAACTCCAAGATCATTTTTAGTGGATTTCCATCCAGAAAATATGTTACCAATGGATTATTATATACATTTTTTTGAATACAATTTACCCACAATATGCTTTCAATAAGCTTTTAACATTTCTTGCTTTGCAAACAATTCGGACCATTATTGAAAAAACAATAGAGTACAACATACCACTACATCTGGCATTTGTCGATTATCACAAAGCATTCGACAGTATCGAGAAATGGGGTTTCTTAACAGCATTGGACGACGCCAGAGTAGATTCAAGATATGCTACCCTCCTTAAGAATATATACGATGATGCTACTTTTTACGTAAAAATAGATGATGATCTGGAAACTATGAAAATAGACCTTGGCAAAGGTGTGAGACAGGGCGACACCATCTCACCCAAGTTATTTACTTTGGCATTAGAAAATGTTTTCAAACAACTAAATTGGGCCGAAAATGGATTAAAAATAGATGGAGAATATCTTAACCATTTGCGTTTTGCAGACGACATAGATAAGCACAGATATCCATGAACTAAAATCAATGCTACAAGATTTAAATCACAAATCGAATCAAATAGGATTAAAAATGAATCTCGACAAAACAAAGATATTAAGCAACAGCCTAGAAAACATCACGATAGATAACATCAATATAGAAAAGGAAGAACAATATATATATCTAGGACATGCAATTAATAACGAAAAGGAAAATCAAACCCTAGAAATTAAAAGAAGGGCACAATTATCATGGGCTGCTTTTGGTAAGTTGAGCTTTATTTTAAAAGACAGAAAAATCCCAATTCACTTAAAACGAAAAACCTATGACACTTGTATACTACCAGTTGCAACTTATGGATTGGAAACTATGGCAATAACAAGAAAAATGGTGGAACAATTAAGAGTAACTCAACGGGCCATGGAGAGGGCCATGTTAAATATAAGCCTCAGAGACAAAATTCCTAACACCGAAATACGTCGAAGAACTAAAGTAACCGACATCATGGGAAAAATAGCGACATTGAGATGGCAATGGGTAGCACATGTAGCAAGACAAGACACCAACAGATGGTCTCATAAAGTGACATTCTGGAGACCTCGAGAAACAAAAAGAAGCGTGGGAAGACCTAAAAAGAGATGGATAGACGATATAACTGCTGTAGCTGGAAAGCAGTGGATGAGAATTGCAAAAGATAGGGAAGCGTGGAAGCAATTGGAGGAGGCCTATGTCCAACATTGGATAAATGAAGGCTGAAGAAGAAGAAGCTTTTAACCCTCGAATGTTTGATTCTACTTGACAGTATCAACCCGGGTGAACTACAACAAGAAATAATTTATTAACGAAGATAGGATGCCATTCAAATACCTGCCGTCTTCGACGGTACTTAACTGCAGTTCACATAGACAAATTAAAATACTAAATTACTAGTATTGCTAATTAGTTTTAAAGTTTTGCCCATATACGGGATAATACATGCCCATTTTCAATATTTTATAATTATTTCAGGGACTTAGCTAGTAGAAATTGCCAACTGACCTCAACCCTCAACTTAAAATTGGGTGACTATGGTCTGGGTCCGTTCAAATACCCCTCAGACTATTACCAAGGCCAACCCGCTGTTCCTGTCCGTTGGTGTGCTCCTGAATCTCTCGCCTGTACGCACACCACCATCCAACCGAAAAGACTTACTCCCGAAGCCAATGTTTGGTCGTTGGCTGTGACAATGTGGGAGATATGCGAGTGTGGCGAACAACCTTACTGGTCACTCACGGATGATGAAGTGATTTCCCAAGTTTTGGGAGCTGCAGCCGTGAGATTGGAAAGGCCTACGTGTTTGGTGCTCTATACGGACTATATGTAAGTATTCCCTTTTTTATTCCTGGGTTTTGTTTTATGGTATTTGGTAGGCGTAGAAAAGGGATTTTAAAATAATATATTCCGTCTTCTAAACGTGGTCTCTCCCAGTGATTTGGGTTTTCAAAGAATAAATTCTATAATATACGCCGATGTATACGTCGTCTCATTCTGGTGTGTTAAGGGACAGTCTTATAGGTTCGATTTATTTACAATATTTATTTACTACTCCACAATTGCTTTATTATGTGATACAAAATACTGCTTAAGACTAATATAAAATTTTTTGAAAAAGACTGTAAGACTTGTACACACTTCTAAATAGGTCTAACTGGTAAGCAGGTTTTGTATGTTTTCAATAAAATTGATAGTGTGTAAAATAATTTATTAATTAAGCTGAGTATACTTTCGACATAATAAATGTCATCATCAGAGCTATCCTAAAATAACGTTAAGTTAAGTAAATTTTTTTATAAAATACAATGACAGAAACAACTCTGTCAGATTCAAATTTTAAATCAGAATTAGAAATTATTAAACAACTTGCTTATAGTAACGGTTATAACTTTGGTTGATAACATATTCAACAAATTAAGGAATAAAAGGAATAGATCACTAGCATACAACACTGTCAATAACATTTCTAACTCGGCAGTTATTTATCGATCAATATCGTACATAGGTTATCCCTCAGATAATATAGCCAGAATCTTAAATAACATTCCTAATCTAAAACTTTATTTCAAATATAAAGAAAATATCAAATCTATTTTTTCTCACACTAAAGACAAAATCAACAAATCGTCAAAAAGTGGTATTTATAAATTATCCTGTGGTGAATGCCCGGTGACCTATGTGGGTAGAACAATGCGACCTTTGGATATACGCATTAAAGAACATCTGTCTAAGATTGATAAATCTAGTTTTGGGAATCATATACATGCTTCAAAGCATGGCTTTAGTCCTCATAGAGATAGCAAGATCCTACACAGTATACCCAATAATAATTATATAAAAATGAATTTACTAGAAAATCTAGAAATCAGTAGAGAAATGAAAAGGACTCCTCAGAACTGTGTCAACACTCAAGCTAACTAATATTGTAAGTTTGATCCAATCTTTAAGAAGTTTCTTTAATAATACATTTAGTATACAATTAACCATCGATTGATCAAGCTTTGACCTTTATTTTTTAAAAAAATTTTTTAAAAAATTTCTTGAATTTTCTTTTATTGATTTCATCTAAGTAGAAAATGTTTGATATTTTTCTTCTTTATTTATTTTATTAATAATATTGATAATCAATAATAGCTATTGAACTCTTAACTTGGCAAATGATACTTCTCCTTGGTTCGTTTTCATCTACTTTCTTCTACTTGGTCTTGATATTTTTGATAAATTTATATTTTAAATTTTCACGTTGACTTATCAATTTAAAATATTTAAATTTAAATTCTATAGTAACTAAAAGTAATAATCAATATCCTTCAGACGTCAGTTTAGACATTTTCAATTTTTAATTAATAATTTTAAATACAGAGGTCGCTCTCGGATTTATTTCCGTATATTCCGCCTTCATCTTACTTCAAAAAATGTAGGTCAAAAACAGCTGTTGTCGTCGCTGTATGTGGTAACCATGTTTTCTATTTTAAGTATTTGATGTGAATTATACATATGTGTAAGGGTTAGACCCAAGATCTGTGGCCTAGAGAGCCCGATCTTTGTTTTTTAATATGTTGTTTGTCCACAATTTTCCTTCTATGAAGTATTTATTGTCTAATTGACGTCGGTTTTTTCTGTCATTGTATTTTATAAAAAAAAATTACTTAACTTAACGTTATTTTAGGATAGCTCTGATGATGACATTTATTATGTCGAAAGTATCAGCTTAATTAATAAATTATTTTACACACTATCAGTTTTATTGAAAACATACAAAACCTGCTTACCAGTTAGACATAAAAATTTTTATTATAATCTAGAAAACATATTTAAATGTACAATTTATTTATACCCATTCGTCTTTTTTTACGAGGGCTTCTTAGTCGTCAGCACAAGATACTTGAGGGCAACAGTCTGGGTAAGGCTTGGACCGATCTCCAGGTAACATTTCGCATCCAGGTATATGTACAGCGCCAGATGCGCAGCTAAAATAAAAAGTAAAATTCAATTAGTACATTCAATTTTACTATTCTATCTATTCTACTAATAGGAGGTGATTTTGGAATTGGAAATGCAGCTGTAGATGATATGCTTGAATAATTAGCAACAGCATTAGATATGGCGACTGTTAAACATTATTTAAGAAGAAACAAGAAAATGTACACGAAGAAGAAGAAGAAGTACACGAAATAAAAAAACAACAACATATCTTGAAGATTATGATTTGTAAAATTAGATTAGTTTTTACTACACAAGTTCACTAATTATAGAACTAATAATTCTGCGTGTTATAATCACAATATAATTATAATTATAATGTTATAATTTACAAACACAACCTGTTAATCTTAACTAAAATGATTCACAATCTGGAAAACACGTTCTGTCGCATGAAAATTTTAATCCTTTCTAAGAAAGTTAAGGGATTATAAATTGAACCTCTTATCTTTGGAAATTGTAAATATTTTGTACCTGTACAGATTACGTATTTATTATTTGTTGAATAAAAAGACTACAGACTAAGAATTGAAATCAATTGTTAGGTTTAAAAATTTTACGTAAAACCCAAACATTTTCAGAACGATGCTAAATATTTTATTTTAGAAAATCTCCGCCACTATTTTATGATTTTATATTGGATTTTATCTCGCCCGCAATCAAATTTGCGCTATCAATTATTTTATGCTTTTTTATTATTATTGTTTCCATGAAAATACAAGTTGGGTATGTTAAATATTTAAAGTTAAAAATAATTCAATATATCTTACCCTGTTTGGCCAATAAATCTCTTACTCGAACATTCTACTACAGCGCATCTTCCTTTTAGTGGCTTCTTCTCACCCAATTTCATGGAACCTATACCTTCAGTGGATGAGTAGCAATCACCAAGATGTTCTAAAAAACAGATACATATGTTCATTTATATATTGAAGTTTGTTTTTATCTTACAATTTGTAAACAAGTCAAGCCTTCTTAAAAACCAAACGACGGTTATATTTACTTTTATTTGTATTATTAAAATCTTCGTTTACAATATCAATATAGTATACCAATATACCTGCCTGTCACTCAGGAGGCTCAGTCTTAAATTATGAGTGTGAATTCGGTACATATGGGAATCAACTGATAATATGACATATATGTAATTACCTGTAGATTTGTTGATCGTACATGATACATACACATACTCACACACACAAAATACACATACACATATAGATATATATGTGTCATGCTTAATCAGCAAATCACCAGACAGTTGCCTTATCATATTATAAGATTTGCACTGCGTCTACTGCAGGATATGCATGACACAGGGAGAAAAATCTTTCCTAATCGATTGATCACCAACATACGATATGCTGATAGTGGTGTCTTAATTTGTGACAACATAGTCGATCTTCAACAACTTGTCACTAAAATCGGAGAATACAGTAAGCGAATGGGATTAGAGATTAATACCAAAAAAACCAAATTTATGATCTTCTCCAGAAACTTGGATGCACTTGAAAACTTCACCATAACACTGAATACTAAGTCCATTGAAAGACTGAGTAAATTTAAATACCTGGGATCGTGGCTTTTTGAAGACTGGGCATCGGACAGGGAAGCAAAATGTCGCATTGAGCAAGCTCGACAAGCTTTCGTAAAATTCAAGAAGGTACTGACTTGTTCAGAATTCGATCTTCAACTGATACTAAGGTTTACTAAGTGCTACGTGTGGTCAGTGCTGCTATATGGCGTAGAGGGCTGGACACTCAAAACGAGGGATATAAACAGATTAAAAGCTTTCGAAATGTGGCTCTATCGCCGTATCCTAAAAATACCATGGACAGCGAAAATCACAAATATAGATGTCCTTAAAAGAATAAACCAAAACACCAACTTTTCGAAACCATCAAGAAAAGGAAAACGGCGTATCTAGGTCACATCATGCGAAATGAAAAATACCAGTTCCTCCAAATTATAATCGAGGGCAAAATTGAAGGCAAGAGAGGAATGGGACGCAAGAAAATGTCCTGGCTTCGAAACATAAGGCAATGGACAGGGATTAACGACATACAATCTCTGATACATATTGCAAGAAATAGAGAATTAATGGAAAATGTGGTCGCTAACATCCATTAGTGGATTTGCATCTGAAGAAGAAGAAGAAGAATCGATGCCCCAGAGAGCTAGCTGGTAGAATATAGCACTAGCATATAGTCGCGCGTTCATATGAGCTTAACAACACTTTAAACTTTCGTCCCAACTCGTGTGGATAAAATGGACCAAAAAAACATGATCCCGAAGAGGACTCAGTGACTCATCTGAATCTATAAATAAAATGCAGAGAGAACGAGCAGATAGTTGACCTCTTCAGAACAGTGTTGTGCGCATGAACTTGCTAATAAAATAAACTACTAACAATCAACAAACTTGATCCTGTAATAAAGGTGAAGGCAATTAGGTCTTTGTGAATTGACCAATAAACCGAATTTTAGAAGCTGCTAATGCATTTCAACAGACATTTGATTTTTCAAAATATTCATTGTAGAAACGATGCAGAATCTGTATACAGAAAGGAGAAGGTCGCTTTGAACACTATTTAAATTAAACTAATATCTTTTCTGTTTCTAATTGAAATTTAATAATAAATTTAATATTTGTAAAAATGTAATATTGCATTTAAAAAAAGTGGCTGTATCTTATAACTTAAAGATTTTACAAACACATACAATTTGAATAATAGGCATTTCATTCTATTGATGTTCCGTTTTTATTCCAATATTATTCTACAAAAAAGTTAGGGGGAAGGAAGGTTAGGAGATGTCTCTAAAATCTAGAAAAATCGGGAAAAAAATT